GTTTCATAATCAGATGAAAGATGGCCGAATAATGGCTGTTTTTATTTTGGCCATATTACTATGACACGAAACACATGTTTTGATGTAAATAAACAATCTGTTGTATACGCCACTTGGAACTCAAGTTTCAAGGACACGCTCGCGACAACCCCTCCGCTTTAATATGACAAGCACAAAGAGAACTTAACGGGGACTGTGTCATTTTCAATGACTTGTTTTACAATTATTTGGCCATTTCTATTTAGCTCAGACCAGTATCAGCTATTAGGTATTGTTCATGCTTTTATCTTGCTGTTTATTCATTGAGCAGCCAACGATGATGTTCTGCAAAGAGCGCCCTCACAGTGTTGGATCTTGTTCCTTCTCCAGTGCTAGTCAAATATGCTAAACAAAGCTGTTGTTTTTTGTTTAAAGTTGATTGGTAGCCTTGGCTCATGGACACTAACGAATGATATAGTATCTGGAGTGTGGAGTAAAGAATCATTCAAATTAGAACAATCCATTGCCAAGGCAAATAAACTTGGTAGTACACCTTTCTTTGCTATGTATGTGGCACCAGATGATAAAAACTCCAATGTTAACTTGATACAGGTATTTATTTATTTTTTTATAAGTATTACTGTGAAATCTTAAACACGTTCTCTAAGTTAGTGTGGAACTGGGAATGTTTGCAGAAGATCCATAAGTAGTCTTTTTAGGGAATAGTACTAGATTTCCGAACTGTTTGCATGCCTCTACATAAATATCTAATGAGAATTGCAGACTTTGTTTGAATGAAATACTTAGTTAAAATGGAAATATATTCAAGTGTTCACATGCAAAGTGGAACACTGCCATCAAAAACAGTTTTCATAGAATATTTGTCATTCTTTATTATAATTGTTCTCCTAAACAACCAGACTTTCACACTATAACCAACGTTTTATCAACAAAAATGTAATGTAACTACAGAATTATCATTTGAAATCCAACGCTTACGTAACAAGTTCATCTTTCTCTAACTAGAAATAAAGTGCCTGCAATGTCATAACAAATAAAATATTTATTATTTTCATGTTACTTGTCATAAAACAGCGCAATTACTTTTGGGTTCTACCGTAATGTATTTATGCTTTATGTCATATTTTGTATTATATGATCACATTATGTATAGACTTGTAATGTCTAACAAAAATGTAATTGAAAAGAAATCATCGTTAGTTTCACTATGTTGATTATTTCAGATTCAACAAGCTGGTCTGGGATTGGATTCCGAGGATTATTACTTTGATAACAACACTGTGAGTTGATTTCATTATCACAATTTCCATAATTGATTTATTATATAAAAGTTTCACTAAATTTACGGTATTATTAAAGCTGCCACTAGAGGGCGCCAAGCTAGTTTTTTGTTTATTTATGCTGGTTGTTTGGCTACCACTATGAGAATAGGACTAGAACAGCTATGCTAACTGCTCTTGGATTGTTCCAAAGTAGCACTTCTATCATCCCGATCTCCAGGTGATAAAAGAATGACCCAATTGTGAAAGTTTGGGTAAAAGCTGTACATACCAAAATCATCTCACTTCTACCCCAATTGACGTCCATACCTGAAAGGAAGTGACTTACAATGTATTGGTGTCTGTGACTGACTTTTTTTGTAAAAATTCCTTTTTTTTTTTTTTTTTTTTTTTTTTTATGCCAGGCGACAGTTCTGAACATTGAATGTCACCATTGTCTCTCCTGACTTTTTTTTTTTTTGTATGTGCAAATTGCAAGTGCTAGTGCTGACACATAGTGCATTTTGCCACAGAAGTCATATTCATGTTTGGGACTACATGACAGGGCTGTGTGGCCATCTCTCTGTCAAATGGCAATTTTTAATGCGCTATCCTGGCGTCAAGCAGGCTCGGTCGAACACGAGCACCTGCGGACCTTAACAAAGGTATCCTTTGATATCTGATACATTTGTACCTTGGGTAGATATTTATGTGGTTTGTTGTCTTGGTCACTTATCAAATTTGTTTATTTTATGACTATAACTGCAAACTCTTAAAGTAAGGAATATTTTTGTCATTTATAGTTAAAACACTGCTTTTTAAATAAACAAACTGTTTTCAAATGTATATTTTATTTAGGTACCTTGGGTGAACCTCTATCATATTTATCATGATAATAACTTCAACTATCTTTTTTTAATAAAAATGGTATTTTCAACTTCTTGAAAATAGCTAACTGACATTATTTCAATGATTGCTTCAGTTCTTTAATACAGTATTAATGAATACCGGTAGTTGTTAGTTCCACTGTCATCAAAGATGACCAAGCGGAGCTTATGGGATGACCACACCTGTTGTCGTCGGGCGATGTATTTTTCATTAAAATGATTTCTTTTCCAAAACTGTCAGCTGGATTGTTTTGCTATTCATACCACACCTACCTGGAATGGTCTTCTATCAGATTTGTGTGTTTCATGACATCACATGTAAATCTTTATATTTGGGAATATTTTTGTCATTGATGGTTAAAAATGATTTTTTCTACAACCGCTTGTCAGATTGCTTTGAAATTTGGCATGAATATTGTTGACATGGATGACACTCAGACTTATTATTTTCATGGCACCATATGCAAGTGTCTATTTGCTCATTTTTGTGCATTTTCTATTTCTTTTCCAAAACATTGCTTTAATGTTGATTGCATGTGTTTTGGGGGGTCAGGAGGTCACCTATAGAGTGGAATTGCCGGAAACCTTGGAAACATGAATAGTTATAGGATCAAATTCAAATTCAATCAATTTAAAACATTTAAATCATTAAAATATTCAAGACTTTTCTACAAACGAAATTCAGAAAATAAGGGATACTCGCTTGAGTTTAGCAAAGGTCATGTAGTCAGGCAGCCAATCAGCAGGTGATGAAATATCGTCAGCGGCCATTTTGACTTTCTTTGACATTTGACGCCCCAAGAGGCTGGGTTTCGCGCAATTTGTTTGAGAGCAGTATATTGCATTGTAATCATGGACAACATTGGAGGAAAGGGTTAGGGTAATGGTTAGCCCTAACCCCCGTTGTGTCATCACCGGAAGCGCTGTCCCAGCACATCCCTGTGTCATATGACGCCTTACCGTTGTGTCGTCACCGGAAGCGCTGTCCCAGCACATCCCTGTGTCAAATGACGCCTCACTAGCCGATTTTGGCTAAAATTCCGCTCCGCCGCCTCTTTACAACAGTGTTTATACGCGAAACTTGATATTGCTTTTTACAATTTGGGTTGCCTTTGAATCACATATTTTAGTGAAATATTGTTTATAGAGTGAAATATTATTGTCATACATAATTCAATCTTTGAAACAACAGAAACTAACACATAATAACGATAATCAAATTTGTGTTTGAAGTTTGAAAGTAGTTGCGTTATTTCCGGTTTCAACTAGTTCGAAAATAGAACGTTCTTGAGCGCAATAAAATCACGCGTAGAACTCCATTCGAACCAGACTCTAGCAGCGTAAACTTATTGCAATTTGCGCAAATTGGGCCCAGTTTGTTCTTACAAGTTTTCTAAGTTTCATTTATCATTATTTAGTAAACAGGTCTCTGAAACGATTTAATATATCTGTAAAATACGTGGAAATCGACGATGGACTTCGAAACGTTTGAAATTTCGAACAAAATCCCGACACACCTTGCGCGATATGCGTCAGATCGGTGTAGAAGACGCCGACCTGCAGCGTCAATGCCATAACCCCCTAACCCCTAACTTATTTTTTCAATTTTGGTCACTGCTAAATCCAACTTTTCATGTTTCTGAGGTTTCCATGCTTTCCAAGGTTTCCATGTTTCTGAGGTTTCCAGCAATTCCACTCTACGAGGTCACCCCACCGTCTAGATCTTTCAAGGATTTTGCGACAATTAACGGTTTCCTATTTTTGGTAAAAAATTTATTGTTACCATAATTAATATATTATTTATATCAGTGATCATTTTAAACTTTTTTAGGAAATCCAACGTGAAGCGTACGTTGCATATTGTACAGATGTAGCAATTTTACTCGGTGCTAACGAGACTTACGCACTTCAGAGAATGATAGAAATATTTGAATTTGAATCACAGCTAGCAAAGGTACAGTGTGAATTTTTACAAGTTTAATGTAAATTTGGAAAATATTCTGTTGTCAACAAATTATTTTTGAAAATTCTTGCACTTTAATTATCAATCATCTTCTCGTGGTGTGGCTCTTTCAGATTTGAAAATTGATTTCATTCTTATTCAATCAGCACTGATGATTGTGTTAATCCTGTATCTTCAATATTAGAGAGGAAACCCACCCACTTTAATACAAAAGAGAGCGTATTACAGAATGTATTACCATTTCCAGTTCATTTTCTCTTCAGGACTCACTATACAAAAATGCTAACACCATCTGATCAGCATCAAAATATGTTCTACGAAAGCATCAATATGATACAATATATACACCCATATACAAATGTTCTGTAGAATCATTATTGATTTACTATACAATGTCTATAGAATTTTTACTGTAAAAGCATTTATTTTCACTATTTTGATGATTTAATCAATTTGATCAGATGGTACGTCCTCTGTTGGATTTGTTCATATCCCCAATTCTTTAATTTTTATGAATATTATGTCATTCTTAATTTGTTATCTTTTGAAAATCTCAAGTCTGATCACTTTGGAATGTTGTATATAGCTACTACTAAAAGCTGGTGCCATTAGCTGTTATAACACTAGATTATATATTCATCATTTTGTTTGAATAGTGTGCAAAAATTGATGTTTCATAATTTTATAGTTGTTCACTGAGAAAATTGACCAGAAAGATCCAGAAGAAAATTACCACAAAATGACCATTGCAGATTTACAGGAGCTTGTACCAGCAGTGAGTATGTTCATATACAGCTACATAAATACTGCACTTATGGTAAAATAATACTTTAGTAGCTATGTGTTGATGTCTTACACTGTGATATCTAGCATAGGGTGTTGGTCTTCTCTAACACTCTCTTCCAGCCTAATTAAGCTGAGAAAATGCTTTATCTGCTCTCCTCCCACCCTGAAGTGTTACCAGCCTAGTATGTGAAGTGCCTTAATTGTTGATGTTGTGCTGTGCTGTGCTGTGCTGTGCTGTGCTGTGCTGTGCTGTGCTGTTCGTTGTGCTGTGCTGTGCTGTGCTGTGCTGTGCTGTGCTGTGCTGTGCTGTTCGTTGTGCTGTGCAAATTCAGCGACATGGTTCTATTCCAATCATTCACTATAGTGGTTCTATGTGCAATGTAAACTATGAATAGTGTTTCAAATATGACATGACAAATCTGAATTCCACAGGAAAATTGGAATGAGTGCAGATAAAACTTTTACAAAATGGCGCTAGATTATAATAAAGTTTTTATTCATTGGGTTGTGTTAAGCCTAATATAAAGTAAATGAGTTATAAATCATTGGTATATAACTTGCATGTGTTTGGATTTTCTCAGATTGACATGATGGTATATTTTGATGCTATATTTGAAAATGTGAACGAAGATGACGATGTTATTGTGGTCACGCCTGACTACCTTGTCAATATGTCACAACTAATACAAGATACAGATACCAGGTATCTATATTTTAAGATATTGTTATATGTTTGTTATTCAGATAGAATTACACTATTTAGTGTATGAGTTACCAGCAGACATCTGTGTCAGATACACTGTTGACAATCCTTCTGGCCTAATAGTTTTTTTCAACAAAAATAATTGAATTAAATGCCACAATGCATTTGCAAAATGACAAAGGCATTTTAAGCAAAGGCTATAAGGCTCAAAGGACTGTTATAGGCTGCTATGCCATCACTTGCCACAGCATTGTGATATTTAATTCAATTATTTTAGTTGAAAAAAAAAACGTATTAGGCCAGGGAGACTGTCGACAGTCTTGTTTTGATGAGTAAATCTTTTGTATTTTGGTGATTGTTACTATTTTCTCAAAAATCTCTAACCTATTCAGCATGGAATGAAATTTTCGTGTGTACAATGATATTTTGTTCATGCAAAATTGGTCCACCCATATTATGCAAATGACTATCGTTAAAAATGAGCCATTTGCATTTATTACAACTTAATCTCTGACACAATTTGTTCTATAGTAATAATATTTGTCATGAAGGTGCCACATAAGCCTCTTAAAATTGCATTTTGTATGATCCATAGAAACCCTCTCATTGAACCCTGTAATTATCATAATGGTTTTGAATTTTGTACAGTTCATGACAAATCTTATCTATCATAATTCTGAAATCAAATTTAGAAAACTCTCTTCAAATAAAGTTGTAAATAAATTACAACAGTAAAGATTATTTTTGATTAGATGATTAGACATCATTAGCTTTTGTGCAGGCTAGCTGCAGTGCTTCAATATTTAAGGATTTGTTACCAAGGCAACTGATTTTGACATTTTTTATGGTGAACCAATCAAGGGAGTTGTTCATATAATGCAAATTAAAAATCCAAATTTAAGTCAGCTTTAGGTTTCACATTTTGCATGAATGTATACTGTAAAATACTGTGTTTTCACTGAAATACACGATTCAGTGAAAATAAAATCCAGTAAAAATGCCTGTTTTCCAATATTTTACAGTCAACTCATCAAAAGTCATTGAAAATAGACTCCATGCATAATATTCAAAAAGTGTTTTCAGTGAAATATAATTCCAGCTAAAATAATGTATTTTTTTTGCAGTCTCTTGGCTGACTACATCGTCTTACAAACTATATTGCAGTTTGTAGGGTATTTATCAGAGGCCTTCCTTGATATAGTCATGAGTTATTTATCAGTCACTGCAGGGGTCACTGACCTGCCGCCAAGGTGGCAGACTTGCATAAGCCGGACTGATGATTCATTGGGATTTGTCACTGGTGCTTTATATGTCCAAGAAAAATTTCCACCTCATAGTAAGGCAAAGGTATGTTTCTTTGATTGTTTTATAGCTCAGTCTCCCTTTCTACTCATTCTCTGATTATTTGTGATTGTGTATGGCAACTCCCTCAAAATGTGAATTAATGCTTTATTAGTTCTTCTGTGATTGTTGTGGTAAAATAAATGGTCAGAATTCTGGCAATGCTTCATTTTTTTCAAAAATCTTGTGTGTGGTTTGAGTATGGCTATCAAAAACTAATTGTAGTAATGTTTTTGTCATTTTGAGGCAAAATGCTATTTTTTTTAACTTTTTTTGTGAAAATTTGATATCTATGTGCCTTGTGTTTTGTTTTGAAAGAAAATGTAGCTTTATGTTGCTATTTTGTGCGGTTGTTTGTTTATGTATTTGTGGTTCAGCTTTAATCACTAAATATGTAATAATGTTTCATTTGTTTCGCTAGTACTGGTATTGTTCACGCTATACGAAGCAGGGCTACGATTTGAGCTAATCTCTTATGTTTACTAATCAGATAGACTAAATTTAAATTGCATTCAGACACGCGAGGAAACAGTGGTCAGAACATGCTAAGGAGCACCCAATCTTATTAAGAATATACAAAAATCTTCAATAATTTTAACAATGATTACTAGTATAGTAACTGTGAAGGTAGACATGATAGTTCTACCGTTATAAAACAATACCAAAGCAAATTCAGAAAGTGCACATTGCAGAATAACATTCAGTTGGCAATTAACTCGTAGCTAGCTTCAACTCCTGATTGATAATTGCTACAAAGCGAGATGCTCATTTTTGTACACACATCTAAGACACAGTCACTAATTTACAATTACTTGTATTAAAGGTTGAAGACTTGGTAACTGCAATCAAATGTGCTTTTGAGGAGAATCTCCCAAAAGTTGCATGGATGGATGAAGTCACCAGAGACAGAGCAATGAAAAAAGTGGTCTCCATAATAGATAAAATTGGTTATCCAAAGTGGCTTGAACATTCTAATAAATTACAAGAATACTATGATAAGGTAACTTTGTAAATCCAGTCTTGGCAATCACACAATTTAAGCTAGAAACAGTGGTAAAATGTGACAAAAATTGCTACAATTACCATGGATGCTGCATATGCTGTCCCAATGTTTGTCCAAGGGATTACCAGACAGCCAATTTTGCTATACATTTTTGACTATTCTTACTAATAAAAACACTCGCAGTTGAATAACTTGCACAGGACATTTGTGATGTGGATTGTTTTATGCTTCTTTGTCTGCCTTTGTTTTCTAGCTATGACCAAATAACTACAGACATATGATATAAAAAATTTGTACTAAAAAAGTTCCAGATCAGATTTCTACTGCATTATATAACTACCTGTCATTTGCACATCAGTTTATTTGTGATTTAATGATTCTTGACTGTTTCAACATGCTATCTCTTACTGAGTCACATTTCCAACACCCGAATCCTCTTACACTGAGTCACATTCCCTGTACCCGGATTCTCTTATACTGAGTCACATTTCCAACACCCGGATCCTCTTACACTGAGTCACATTCCCTGTACCCGGATTCTCTTATACTGAGTCACATTTCCAACACCCGGATCCTCTTACACTGAGTCACATTCCCTGTACCCGGATTCTCTTATACTGAGTCACATTCCCTGCACCTGGACCCTCTTATATTGTGTCACATTCCCTGTACCCGGATCCTCTTATACTGAGTCACATTCCCTGCACCTGGACCCTCTTATATTGTGTCACATTCCCTGCACCTGGACCCTCTTATATTGTGTCACATTCCCTGTACCTAGACCCTCTTATACTGAGTCACATTCCCTGTACATGGACCCTCTTATACTGTGTCACATTCTCTGCACCTGGAACCTCCTATACTGTCACATTCCCTGTACCTGGAACCTCTTATACTGTCACATTCCCTGTACCTGGAACCTCTTATACTGTGTCACATTCCATGCATCTGGACCCTCTTATATTGTGTCACATTCCCTGTACCCAGACCCTCTTATATAGAGTCACATTCCCTATACATGGACCCTCTTATACTGTCACATTCCCTGCACCTGGACCCTCTTATATTGTGTCACATTCCCTGCACCTAGACCCTCTTATACTGTGTCACATTCCCTGCACCTGGACCCTCTTATATTGTGTCACATTCCCTGCACCTGGACCCTTTTATACTGTGTCACATTCCCTGCACCTGGACCCTCTTATATTGTGTCACATTCCCTGTACCTGGACCCTCTTATATTGTGTCACATTCCCTGTACCTGGACCCTTTTATACTGTGTCACATTCCCTGCACCTGGACCCTCTTATACTGAGTCACATTCCCTGTACCCGGAACCTCTTATACTGTGTCACATTCCCTGCAGCTGGACCCTCTTATATTGTGTCACATTCCCTGTACCTGGACCCTCTTATACTGAGTCACATTCCCTGTACATGGACCCTCTTATACTGTCACATTCCCTGCACCTGGACCCTTTTATACTGTGTCACATTCCCTGCACCTGGACCCTCTTATACTGTGTCACATTCCCTGTACCTGGACCCTCTTATATTGTGTCACATTCCCTGTACATGGACCCTCTTATACTGTGTCACATTCCCTGCCCCTAGACCCTCTTATACTGTGTTACATTCCCTGCACCTGGACCCTCTTGTAATGAGTCACATTCCATGCACCTGGACCCTCTTATATTGTGTCACATTCCCTGTACCTGGACCCTCTTATACTGAGTCACATTCCCTGTACCTGGACCCTCTTATACTATGTCACATTCCCTGCACCTGGACCCTCTTATACTGTGTCACATTCCCTGCACCTGGACCCTCTTATACTGTGTCACATTCCCTGCACCTGGACCCTCTTATACTGTGTTGCATTCCATGAATCTGGACCCTCTTATATTGTGTCATATTCCCTGTACCTGGACCCTCTTATATTGTGTCACATTCCCTGCACCTGAACCCTCTTATACTGTGTCACATTCTATGCACCTGGACCCTCTTATACTGTGTCGCATTCCATGCATCTGGACCCTCTTATATTGTGTCA